TGCGCGCACGTGCTTGCAAGAGCGCGCACGTGCAAAACTTAAAATGACCAATATATAATGGATATAACCGTAACTTCTCTATTTTGTGACGAAATGTTTTGAAACTTTTAATGTAAGGATATATTAGTAGTATGCACAAGATGACATGGTCAAAATAGCAAGATCGCACGCGCATGCACGTGTGCTTCGCTCTGATTGGCTGAAACTAAAGTCTCAATATCTTTTTTGTTTTTTGATAAAATCATTTGAAATTTTGAACATAGTCATACATTAGGGAGATCTACAGCCTGTAATATAAGATTTTTCATGAAAGCATGTGCATGCACATGTGCTTGCAAGAGCTCGCACGTGCAACACGAGAAAGTCCAATATAATTGATACAGACGTAACTATTAAAATTATTGATGAAATGCTTTGATACTCATTTTATAAGTATATATTAGCAGTATGCACAAGATGACATGGTCAAAATAGCAAGATCGCACGCGCATGCACGTGTGCTTCGCTCTGATTGGCTGAAACTAAAGTCTCAATATCTTTCTTGTTTCTTATCATAATCCTTTGAAATTTTGAACATAGACCTACATTATGAAGATCTACAGCATGATATATAAGAATTTTCATGAAAGCATGCGCATGCCCGCGTGCTGCAATCTGATTGGCTGAAACTTTAAATGGCTATATCTACTTTGTTTTTTGACGAAATGCTTTGAAATTTAAAACATTGTCATGCATTAGGATATCCTACAATATGATATAGAAAAAAATCATGAAATCACGCGCATGCACGTGTGCTGCAATCTGATTGACTTAAACTTGAAATGGTATAACTCCCTTGTTTTTCAACCAAATAGGATGGGAATTAGAATATAGATAGATGTAAGGGACTCCTACAAGAAGGTATGGTCATCATGCACGTGCACGCACGTGCGTGCATTTGGAACGAGTGAAATGAAAAATACACTTGAAAGAGTGATTTTTCATACTTCTGGACTAAATGCGTTAATATATTGTACATTAAATTTTGTAGATAGTGTAGACAAGATGATATGATCATAACGGACATGCATTCACATGCGCACGGGTGCAATGCTAAAATTTGAATATAATTGGTATCCTTCTGAGAAAACGTTGTTAAAGTCAAAATGCACAGAGTTTGTCTTATTTAATGAAGCTTACAGGGAATATGGCACCAAAAAGGAGTTGGGGAGCGTTTGGGGAACATCTGTAACGGTCCCCGTTACAATTAGCACTAGTTTAAATTGGCGTGAACACTAACAATCATTTTTTTCGGTCTTTATGTATTCTTTTACAGATAATTAACTGAATTTCCATAGTGAATATTTTTTCATCCATCTTTCAGGATATGAAGGAATTAGAACTACTTGGGGTGAATACAATTTTGGAGAATGGAAAACTGGAGATCATCATCCGTTGTAGAAGAACCTGAATTTTACCCGCAACCAGAGGAGCTAGACTGTTTAACTCGGTTAAAATATGATATGGATATTGAGTGAGTGATACCCCGGCATCTCTTGTTTAGTAGCAATAATCCTTTACAATTCAAAACTGGAAAAATTTCTTTATTTGGTTAAAACTCTGAATATTTGTGAAAGTATAAACTTGTAACATTTACAACTAGATTTATTAGTGTTATACAAGTACATATTATACATGCTGCAGTACCCAGACAACAAATATCATTTTCAGTTTTATGTATCATATTTATTCATCATTTTGCTTGTTTTATTTATTAAAAAAGATGATTTAACCTTTTTTTAAAAATGTTTTAAATTTTACTGATGAAACCATTTCATTTTATTAAGCGATAATGTTTTTTTCATATTTCAAAGACCCTCCCCCCGCCCTCCCCACACCAATGGCATACATTTGTCATCGTATCGGAAGAGTTATCTTCACCGGAATACAGGTGGCGCAGCGAACGCTGCGGTCCTAGAACAATGGCGTCGCACATGATTAGTTTAAGGAATCAAGGTTATGGGTCGTGGGATCTACCCAGGTTAAGAGGGGAATTAAGAAAAAGAGGAGCTAGGGTCTCTGGAAGGAAGGCAGAGCTCATAGAAAGGTGAATAATAACTTTTGAGCCTTATACAAGCATTATGTCGTCCTTGAAGACGATGACCTCTGAAATCGTTCTAGAGAAGTTCATGTATATACAAGTATTACGATAAACAAATACAAATGGTATAAAGCAGATTACAAGAAACAATATATAGCTTCTTTTTTATTGAAAATGTATAAGTATATCGACCTACTACATATTTAGTTTGATAGTTAATCCAAGATTTCCCCGGAAAGTTCCACTATCATCGTGATTATTTTCACAGGCCTCTCTTCAACTATCAAAGTAAAGCGGCTATACTTTATAGCCGTAAAGGTCCTTGTTGGGTTTATTTATCGGTTTAGATGATTGTAAGTTTGTTTGGGACATAAGAAACATGTTATTTTCAGCTCTACATTGCCTAAATTATCTACATACAACTACATATAGCTTTTACCTATATCTGAAGAAGGTTAATGTGAAAAGTTGCAAAAATAGCTAAATTAAAGGTATTTTAAGTTGCATAATAAACCAACAACTGATAATTTATAATACATAACTATACATGCTGCTTGTACATGTTGTACTGTTGTACTGGACATTTTATATATGTATTGTATAATGTATATGTATATATTATAATAGATTGTATGGTTACTCTGGCTTGTGGGTTCGATTCCCACCCAGGGCTTACATATAAACAAAGTACATGACTCTTATTTCATAAATATGAAATTTTATCTCAATTTTCAACTTGTGTCTTCTCTGATAATATAAAGTATATTATGCATATCGGTAAACTTTCTTTAGTTTTTAAATAACGAATCATGTACTTTGTAATGGTAAAGGAGGAAATTGCCCTGTGCCTCCGCCAGAGTTTAATGTGTATTTAGTCATATTTCTGCTTTGTAGGTTAGAAGCTTATGATAGAAACCAAAATTTTGGAAAAGATATCGAGAATGTAGAGAGAGAGGAGTTTGTAATGAGTGTGCCTGAACATTCCTTATACAAAGATATTAATCAAGATACTGTGTGTGTGAACATAAAAATGTCCGCAGTAGAGTTCTTTCTGAATCAGATGAACAAAAGTATTGACAAAAATGCTGAAAATTTATATGAAAACAGATTCTTGAAATACATTCGTTTGGCATATTTTCAAAACCTACATTATTTTCGTAGTGAGTGTCATGCACAGATGAAAAAGAGTGTTTCTTATAAAATTGATGTGTGTGTGGATGAAGATGGTTGTTTGCTTGAAAGTCAATGCGAGTGTGCTGCAGGCATGGGTCCAACAGCCCATTGCAAGCATGTGTGTGCACTTTTGTTTGCACTTACCAAATTCTCTTCCTCTAAAGAAATTCTAACAGAAGAAACATGTACACAACAAATTCAAACATTTCACCACTGCAAAAAATTTTCTGGAAGTCCAATAAAAGCTGCAGACCTTCCTTTAGCAAGATCCGACATTGATGTGAATTTTGATCCTCGCCCAAATAAATTCAGGAAAACAAAAGGTTACAACGATTTCTTCAGAAACATGTGCATAAATCATTCAGCAGTTAACAATCTACCAATTTCACAATTATTTCCACCAGCAAACACTTACGGAGTAGACTTAGATCATGATTACTCATCAGAAAAACTCTCAGAAATATGGCTAAGACAACAGAACATTTCTAACATTTCACCAGATGAAATAGAACTGATTGAAAAACAGACAAAAGGTCAGTCTAAAAACAAACTGTGGTTGACAGAGAGGTGCAAAAGACTCCATTCTTCAAGATTTGGTCGAATCTGTAAGGCCACAGATAGAACTGACCACATGAAACTGGCACAGTCTTTGACTGTGTCACATCCGATACATGCTGCACCCATACTACATGGGCAGCAATATGAATCTGTTGCCTTACAGAAGTACACAGAGATCACTGGCAATATTACCACAGACTGTGGAATATTTGTCAGTGAATCTCACCCATACATAGCAGCATCACCTGATGCCTTTGTCAAAGATGTAGGCAAACTTGTTGAAGTAAAATGCCCCTTCTCAGCTAAGAATCAAAATATCACTCCTCAAACTGTTCCTTATCTAAAAAAAATAGATGGAAGACTTACATTAGACACTTCGCATGATTATTTTTATCAAGTACAGGGACAGTTATTTTGTTGTAAGAAAAATGCATGTGACTTTGTGGTCTTTACATTTAAAGACATCAAAATTGTTTGTATTGAGAGAGATGAGCAGTTCATTGAAGCAATGGTAAAGAAACTTGATGCTTTCTATCAAACATACTTCAAAAATGCAGTTCTGGAAAAATTTTACTACAGGCATTATTACAATTTTTCATTCTGAACCTCTAGTACATGACTATATCACTGCAATTGTAGTTTTTAGCTCTATTTACAGAGGCTAGAAGAGCTTATGCATTGGTAAGGTGTGCATCATATGATTCTGTCTGTCTGTCATTCTGTAAACAATTATTCTAATCACTCCTACAGTTTGTCTAATTTCAAAAACATTTGATAAAGAAGAGGCCTATGCTAAGAGTAAGAGATACATATTTCCAATGATCAACCAGTTTTTGATTTCAACAAATGGTGTTGCCATGGTCATTAAATATGGAAATTTCTTAAACTTCTTTTATAACACTACTATTTAAGAGTTAAACATTTTTTAACATAAGTACTTTATAGTAGAGAATACAATAATATATTTTCTGTCTTATAAGTGTACATCAGTACAGCTACAGTCTCATCACAGACATCTGGTTTTGAAAGATTTTTATGCTCATTGCTGTTGAACTTTCATGGTTTGCGATTTGGTATTAATCACGTAAATACATGTAAATTTCACATTAAAATAAACGTTAAGTGATTTTGTGTTATTGTAACAAAGAAACACAAATATTTATGTCCATAAATTTTTGCTTTATTTTTCTTAAGCATGTTTTGGAATAATGCATCGACGAAAATTGCACAGCATGAAACAGCAGAAGGTTATTTCTGATGCAAGTTTTGTTTCAGTTGTATTCAATGCTTGAGTTAATATTTTGTATGTTTTGGCTAAACCAATTAAACGTTCAATATGAACTCTCTTGCTTGATATTTTCCTGTCTCTTTGAACAGTTTTATTTGACATTTGATTTCTGTTTTTGAAGAAAGTAGGGATGTTTATAGTGACATCATGTGGGGCAAATAGGTCTTGCACATTAAAACCCTTATCCGCCATAATACTGTCACCTTTGTCACACAAATTCATCAAGCTAGATCTTTCAACAATCTGGCGGTCCGATGTAGATCCCCCATACGCAGGGGACAAATACGAAATCAACCCACCTGGTGTGGCCCCAGCTAACACTTTGATCGTGTTCCTATTCTTGTATGTAGAAAAGGTACTCTGTTGAGCAATTGGGGGTTTTGGCTTCTTCACTGGACATTCGGTGCCATCAACTATGACTCTTGTTGTTGGAAATTTATGAAAAAAATCTGTCGGACAAAAAAATCTTACAATGTCCCTGTCTGGCCATAAATCAATCTCCCTCCATTGGCAGGACATGAGATTCACCCAGGTGATCCATATGTTGCTCACTGAATATTCTGAAATACTGAACAATCGGCTAAGTTCAAAGTTAGTTTTATACTGTCGAAGCTTGATAAGAGTCAAGAAAAATTGATCCTCTATGTTCAAATTTTCAACCTGGGTGTACAAATAATTCAAATGATAAATACTTTCACCGAGAGTTTGTAAAACAAAAGTAAAATCTTGATAAGATGACAGCCCAGTATAGAACATAATACCAGCATTATCGTTCATGAAATTCTCGATGCTGAACATCGGTCTTGATGGAGTTTGTGATGCTGTACTCATCAATGGAGTGAATGGACGGACAGGCTGCAATGGCTGGTCCGATGAGATCCCAGTAGGTGATTGAGTCGGAGATTCATCAGTATCGATAATCACTTCTTGAGAAACCAAGTCGGTAGGTATTTCACTACAACTACAACTTATACTTTCTGGCTGTTCCGGTTGTGACACGTATTCCCTGCCAGATCTTAAAGTTCCAGGTTCTGATGACTTTGAGGTAGATTCCTTAAGGCCCCCAGTCCAATAAAACAAACTGGGGACGGCACTTTCCCTCAGCTGCTTTTTCAGAGGTGTTGTACCTACATGCAATAACAAACAATATATAATTGAAGACTTTCCATGAGGTTGTTCCATAGATATATTGACATCACAGAAAAGCAAATCATCCATTCCTCGCACTTCTTGCTCTGTCAATAAACTTTTCAAATTTTCTTTGAAGTCAATATATCTAGGGATTTACTTTATCTAGGAGCTGTATTTTGTTACAATATTTTCTACGAAAGTTAAATTTATTAAAGTACATGTACTATGAGTATGTAAAGGAAGATTGTCAACATGTAAAAAAAAATCTATGATCAATCTAAGCTTTCTTTTATAGACAAAGTTAACCAGAAAAAGATTATATGATATATATACATGTATAATACTATAATTTAAAAATAAAGCTATGAATCTGTCAGGTACTCTTTTAAAATTGTAAATTATATTATAGTGTAAATTGATAAACACTTTGGTGGAGGCACAGGGCAGTTTCCTCCTCACCAAGAATGACAAAGTGCATGACTTTAATGGTACACGTTTTTAAAATCAAAAAGAAATATACAAATTAAACCAAAAAACAGATTTTGTTAATTTTAATTTTGTTAATTTTAAAATCAAAATTCAATCAAATACAAAAAGAAATTTAAAATTGCATAAGAGTCATTATGACATGATGAGATCATGAACTTTGTACTTAAGCCCTGGGTGGGATTCGAACCCACAAACCAAAGTATCTGATGAATGATTTTAAATTATTTTGATTCTATTCTTGATGGTCACACTAACAGGAACACTTTTGTACAGTACTGAGCAAGTAAGAATAATTAAACTCAACTTATGGTATAGCCAATATATAACTACAGACTTTTGATAAGAGTACTCTATCTAAGATATGAAATCTATGAAAAACTCCCTTGTAATCCTTGTTCAGCTCAGGTCCATGGACAAAGCATCGATATGGTTTGTTTTCTTCAGCACTTCTGTTGGGCCTTCATTGTACCATAAATGAGTCTTTACTACATCAAAAATATCAGATGCAAAATTAAATACTATTAATGTAAATAGGGATTCTTTTTACTATTCAGCCTAGTAGTTGCACGCATAAAAATGACTTTAAAAATTAAAATTTAAGATCTAAAATAACGGCTTTGTTAATAACATGTATAAATACATTTTATTTTGTGAAAAATACTTCAAGAAATTATTTTATTTATTATAATTGTATAATTTTATCTATAACGCAGATTTAAAAACCTCAGAGTCAGACTAGGCAAGTCGTTAAAATACCAGTTCATAACATGAGGTATGCCTTAGCATTGCAAACATGCTAAATCAAAGCTCATGGCTTGGTCCTCGAGCAATTTCAATATTGACTTTCTGTAAATAAACTAAATTATTAAGGAAATTGAACTCCTATGGTGCAACTAAGACGCCGATGGTTTAAAAAATCCAAATAATAACATAATAAAAAGTTAGTATAAAATTTTGATATCATAAATCAACTGTATAAACATACCATAACTAGTCAGTTGTATCTCATACGGACTCCGGAAGTGTTTTCCACAAACAACACTTGATGGACTTGGTTGCCATAGCTTTCCGGGCTTTTCATCCCTTTTTATTGCAATTATCCATTGCTTTCTTATAAGCTCGTTCCTTGGGAAACGATGGCCACCCCTGTTAAAACACCAGGAACACAACAGCCAGAGGAGGGCATTAAAAATGATAATTCAGCAAAATCTAACCTTGACGTAGTATTATCAATATGATGCAGGACCGCAACTACAACAGCGTGTGCACCTCCTATTTTACTTTTTGATCCGACACATATTTTAGGTTTCCCGGCCACAGGAAAACATGGACTTTTTCACCACTTATAACCATAGGGGAGGCGGGGGGTATCATTTCGTGAGCTCATCGCTCACAGTACCTCTAGTTGGAGTTTATTGTTTAAAGATGCAGATTTTACATCTTCATGCTAGTTTATTTTGAGAATTCTATTTTTTCAACCAAAATTGAATAATGTATCCATGTGTTGGTAAATGTGTTATTTAATGTTTCAGTTGTTTATAAAGTTTGAACCCTCAACATTAAATCAATTATTAATTAAAAAGAGCTTTATGTACAACATATTCATTATCAACCACAGTGTGTTTTGTACTGATTTATATTTGTTTCAAATAAAAATGTTGAAAACTTATAAACACGTTTAAGTATTTATTTATTTTGTAAAATAAACACGTTGAAGTGTTTGAAATTTGACCTTTAAACATGTTTAAGTGATTATTATCTGTTGCATCAAATAAACATGTTTAAGTGTTTAAATGTTTAGGTTGAACACGTTTATTTATTAAACATGAAATGTTTAAATTTTAAACACTCACTGTGTTTATGTAGTAAACTCTAAGTGTTTATTCAGTGTTTAATCTTTAAACATTTTGTGTTTTGAAGTGTTGAATATTTAAACGTCATGTGTTTAGAATTTAAACATTCTAACGTGTTTATTACTTAAACACTTCTTGAGGTGTTTAAATTCTAAACGTGTTGAAGTGTTTATTATCTGTTGCAATATGGTGTTTATTTATAAAACACTTATTTTTTACAGTGTAGTCTTTCACACTTAAAATGGTGGGCCTAGGGGAGGAAGCCCCTAGAAGCTCTTGAGATTTCGTGAAATTTAATAGTAAAACCGGAAACAAAAATAGTGGCATTGGTTAGATATGTATCATAGTATGGCATTAATAATATAAATCATTTCATACTTTAAAAATTTTAAGGGTGTGTGTCCCTCACGCCCCCTTAATAAACCAGCTAGCCTAGGTGGTATCAAACCAGCGGCTAAGCTGAATGAGAGGATTTCAAAAAGTATTTTAAAGTTGATAGACATTCATCACAGGTTAGCTGCAGATCTGTAGCTCTCCGAAAAAAACATATATTGATAAATTAAAATTCCGGTTGTTTTGACAAAACTTACTTTGTGCCTATGTGTTATACAAAAAATGGGATACAGCAAATAAATAATGACTTTCAGATGTCAACACTAGGGGTTGCTTGTGATTCTCATTTAATTTTGTTAACAAAGAGATGCTGAGTGAAACAGACAGGTCTAAACTTCAATTCATGACTCGCACTCCCTATCCCAAACTGGTGAACACCAAAGGTCTTGACAGATTTAATTATATATTACATTATATATTATACAACAATTACTTCAAGATAAATTGCTCAGGTGTTGAAAATAAAAAAAATGCCATAAAATGAGGTTTAATATTAATTCAACATAGCTGTGATTTTGTTCTTCATTAAAAAGTAGGGGGGGGCACAGACACACTCTTGCCCCCCCCCCCCATCTGAAAGTGGGGGGCTAGTGCCCCTGCTGCCCCCCCCCCCTGTGACTACGCTATGGTTATCCCATGTTTCCCACAATCGTTGATGTCCCTGGCATACTGTACTAACTAGACAATGATTCCTTATATTTCCATTCATTGTGAATTAAAATTGTAGATTTTGACTTTAAAAATGGAGACATAGATTAAACTAGACGATGACTCCATCCCAATTTCAATAGTCCTCGCCCACTGACGTCAAACACAACAGCAGCCGCACGAAATTTCCATGCATAGTATTTGGCTTCTGTGGCAACGCACTTTGAAAAAATTACGCACTTTGAAAAATTTTTTCAAAGTGCGTAAATTTTTTCAAAGTGTGTTAAATTTTCTACACAATCAAAGCACTATGAAAAAATTTTTGAATGCACATAATAATTTTTTACCATGGAGGCATTTAACGCACTTTGAAAAATAGATATGAATGAAAATAAAAATTCTAGAAATTTTAGTAATAGAGGAAATCAATTATATCTTTCGAAAAACTTTTTTAAATTTACATGAACTCATTTAACCTCATTGAGAACTAGTGCTAATTGTAACGGGGACCGTTACAAGATGTTTCCCCAAACGCTCCCCAACTTCCTTTTGGTGCCACATTCCCTGTAAGCTTCATTAAATAAGACAAACTCTATAATATGCATTTGAGGCTTTAACAACATTTACCCAGAAAGTCCCGAGTTCATTCAAACTTTAGAATTCCACGCGTGCGCATGTGAATGCATGTGCGTAATGACCATGTCATCTTGTCTATACAATCTATATATTTTAATATACTTAATATTAAAGTAATTAATCCAAAAGTATTAAGAAAAAAACGCTCATTAAACTGTATTTTTGATTTCACTCATTTCACGTGGAAGCACGTGCATACATGAGCATGATGACAGTACCTTCTTGTAGAGGTCCATTTCATCTAACTATGTTCTAAATCCCACCCCGTTTGGTTGAAAACCAAGGGAGTTATAGCTGTTTAAAGTTTCAGCCAATCAGATTGCAGTGCACGTACACGCACGTGTATGCATGTGCATGATTACCATACCACCTTGTAGAAGTCCATTATATCTATCTATGTTCCAAAAACCAAGGGAGTTATAGCTATTTAAAGCATAAGCCAATCAGATTGCAGCGCATGTGCATGCACGCGTTTTCATGATAATTGCTATATATCTTATTGTAGGATATCCTAATACATGCCCATGTTTGAAATTTCAAAGGATTTCGTCAAAAAACAAGAAAGATATTGAGACTTTAGTTTCAGCCAATCAGAAAAAAGCGCACGTGCATGCGCGTGAGATCTTGCTTTTTTGACCATGTCATCTTGTCTATGCTTCTAATATATACTTATAATATTAGTTTCAAAGCATTTCATCAATAATTTAAATA